AATATCTTTCAAAGAGGTCACCCTGCAAATGTTCATTGTGTAAATACATGCTAGGAATGACTGAATAGGCAGGGAACCGGTTCTGTGTCTCGGAGGAATGCCATCCAGCCAGGTGGAAATTTTAAAATGCATTGTTCTTGGTTTCTCTTGATCTATCATTCATATCAACTGGAAGTTTTCTTACTTTCAGGCTACATTCCAGGAGCCTGTACTTTCGTAAAAGTCTTAGGCGTAGAAATCATAACCTGATCCCGAAACAATTATTTGGAGGGAGAAAACTAGGCTCTTTTCAAAAGAGAGAATGTTATTATGAATTCCTCTTTCAGTTTTGTACCGCCGTAAACAAAAGCTTTTTCATGACCGTTTTGGGCACATTGGCATCTGTATAAGTAGTTGCAACTCAAGTGTATCCAGATGGGGAATTCCTGACTTCTTGTATTTCTTTCATTTTCAAACAAACAGAGGGAGAAAAAGGGGAAGTGTAGTCATGGTTTGCCATTGATGAGTGTATCTGCCATCATGTGTCCCTGGTTACTGGCCATCATCCAGTCCAAAGAGAGGTTATGAAAAGCAGAAGGGCCTGTATAAATGGTGACTAAGATTAATTTAGGCTGAGGGTGTCAGTATACTTCTGATATTTGAAAAGAATTGGATTGGGCTCTCTGATTATGCAATGAAGAGCATCATTCTTGTATTCGTCAGCGAGCTCTGTGATGCGTTGAGCACATCGAGGTTCATCACAGGCTTCTGTAACACTGCACATGATCTCACTGCCGAGATGCAGTGGAAATGTGATTTTCCTTTGCTCTATCTGCATTCCGATACACTACCTCGAAGGTTTTCCAACAGACTTATTAGGTTAACCAGTATCTTCTCAAACACTAAAGCCAATCTCTACATCCATCCATTTTCTAAGTGCTTTTTCCATTTCAGGGTTGTGGAGGTGCCTATCCTGGCAAGCAATGGGTGCAAGACAGGGTACCCCTGGACAGGATGCCAGTCCATAGCAGGGCATGCACAAATGCACACACTCACACCAGGGCCAATTTTCCCAGAAGCCAATTAAAGTGCCAGAATGTCTCTGGACTGTGGGTGGAAACTGGAGCACCTGGAGGAAACCCACACGAACATGGGGAGAACATACAAACTCCATGCAGACGGCACCCCAGGTGTGGAACTGAACCCAGGGCCCCAGTGCTATGAAGCCACAATGCTAACTGATCCACCACCATGCTGCCCCTAAACCTGAACTACCCACTGTTAATTTAGGAGTGCAAGTGTGAGGCCTGCTACTCAAGGTCTGCAAAAACACCCTGAAGGTTTGTAAACTAATATCTTTAGTTTATTGGATATTTATCACTTAAGGAACAAGTAATAGGTTTATTCCATGCTGAAAAATAGAAGAAAGAGAACACAACATTTCGGCCGTGGAGCCTTCTTCAGCTGTGAGCAAGACACCCTCACACCTGAAGAAGGCTCCAGGGCCGAAACGTTGTGTTCTCTTTCTTCTGTTTTTCAGCATGGAATAAACCTATTACTTGTTCCTTTGCAGCCTACGCATGCTGCCGCAGCTACCCACCTGAACATTTATCACTTAATTCCTCTTCTATAAATCATTTCTCTAGTTTTGTCACATATATTTTGAGCATAAAGACAAATATCCCTCTGTCATTATTTGGTTAAAATCACTTCATTAAAGACTGAGGAATGACGGCCCGTTTGAATCTATGCTCACACACAGTGCGGTGAGGCATGAGTCCTCAGGTTCCCAGTAGCCATGGACATTGGATTTCTTGTTGTGTTTTAAAGTCCCGAGCAATTCCATATTCAATCCCTGTAAATGAAGCATTCTGAGTATTTCCCCCCCAAAAAAATATTAAGAATGTGGAATCTTCTAATTAATCAATCCCAAATTTATTTCGACTACTTGTCAATTTGTGTGAAGTGAGTCAGTTCTCAGTAGGATGCATCGTGTATTTTAAATAACAAACAACTGCATCAATAATATCTATGTTGTAGAGGCAGTATCCATTTGTGATATTAAGTTTGTTGCCAGGATATGTTGTAGCTGTTGCCTGTGTAGTAATTGCATGGTTACAGATCTCATTCATCCAAATCGGGATGCAGCGTTTGCTAAATCCATTTTCAAAGGCTCATTTCGCAATGCTGCTAACCTACTCATTCGATACCTCCCCAATACAGGAAAGCGTGCAGCAAACCATTCACTCAGGAGTTGGCAAGTTACGGCTTAGTCATGCAGCAGGCACTGCTGTCCGTGGGGTGCTGCGAGGCGCACGTACGAATGGGTGGGGGCATATCCCCGGGGGCAGGTGAGAGGTCATAGTCCCTGCCAAGAAAGACCTGTTCCACAGGCGTGTCTGTCTATTCATGAGTCATTTGTTGACCTTTGTTCAACCATAAATCTTATTGAGAGCCTCTTTGCAACAGACCAGGCAACATATTTACAGCATCAAGTAATAAAGTGTCAATAAGATCCAGTTCCAGAAATGTTTTCTAAACTAAAGCAAAAGGTTTGTTTGGCATGTGGGTTGCTCTTATTTTTTTGTGTGTCTTGGCATTTTTCCAGAATAGCTCTTGGTTTGTCCTTAAGAATGAAAGAACATTGTCTGAAACTTACTAAATGTGCTTCTGAGTGTAGCTGGGATCTATATGAAGCTCCCTGGTTATGGGAGCTGTACCGGTTATGAGCTTCTGTGTCCTGGTCTGTCCTGAACTATGTGCTGCTTCACTAGCATTCCAGTTCTCGCAGTAGTAATAATAATAATTCCTTATTATTATATAGCGTTTTTCTGGATATTCCAAAGCGCTTTACAGGTAATGGCGGACTCCCCTTCACCACCACCACCACCACCACCAATGTGCAGCCCCACCTGGATGACATGACAGCAGCCATAATGTGCCAGAACGCTCACCACACACCAGCCATCAGTGGGGAGGAGAGCAAAATAATGAAGCCAGTTCAGAGATGGGGATTATTAGGAGGCCATGATTGGTAAAGCCCATTGGGAAATTTGGCCAGGACACTGGGGTAACACCCCTACTGTTTTGAGAAACTCACTGTGATTTTTAATGACCCCAGAAAGTTAGGACCTCGGTTTTACGTCTCATCCAAAGGACAGCGCCTTTTTACAGTATAGTGTCCCCGTCACTATACGGGGGCATTAGAACCTGCACAGACCACAAGGTGGGCGCCCCTACTTGTGTATGATGGGCTTATTGGTGTCATTTAATTGGGGGATAAAAGCTAGAATATTCAGGCCTGCAAAAAGTTGAGAAAGTGGCAAAGGTAAATGTGTATCTGAACTGCTAATTACACAAGACCAATGAGAGCTGAAACCAGAACAGCCCTGTTCTAGAATTCAACCTGTTGCACAAGCACCAGCCCAGGAATGTGAGAGAAGATGTGATGCATTCTCTCCATTCCAGCTGCATGGAGAACCTGTTTCTGTTCTCCTGCTCCTTACAGTAGCATACAGGTTGCGCACAACAAATAATCTTAATAAAACTAATTTATAACTATGCATTGAGACTATTGCTGAAAAGACAGTAAGACTAAAAAGTTGATTTGCAGACTCAAATGGAATTGGGTAGTGAGTTCCAAAGACCCCAATGGTGTTGCAATCTAATACCCATTCCTTTGAGCCCATCTTTTGGCAGAGTAAGAAGGTCTCAATCGGAAGATTAATTTCGAGTTTAGTTGGACAAAACTCATAATCCTTTAAAACAATCTTGAGCCTGGACATTCAGTGCCTTATATGTGTTCTGGAGATTCTTAAAGTTCATTTTAAATGGTTCTGTTCTTTCTTGCTCAGAGAATTTAAACTGGACCCAGTGTCTTGCGTGCTTGTTCCTACTGTATGTGTAAAAGCACCCTTTCTATTACATCTCTGCATTGCACTCTAGGCGAGGTTGGAGTTCACATCCTTTATTCCATACCACTCATTAGTGTGATCATTCAATCTGCTATTGAACTGGAACATATCCTAATACTTCAACTGTGAATAATAAGAACTTGGCTGAGGGAGTCTTCTTGGGCATTAGTTGTCAAGCAACTTGTATTATGCAAGCAAATATTCTGTGTTTCTGCAGGAAAAATAGAATCTGACAATGTGGTTATGTAAAGGGTTCTTATTCCTCCCTTTAAGTGAATCTATTTTTTTGTAATTGCTCATCTGTCTGAAATGTTTTTTTCCTTGTGGAGCTCCTCAAGCTGGGGGTAGAGGTGGAAATGGGTGTTGGAAGTCCTGGAATGAAAGAGAGAAATTAAAGACGGGAACCTTCAGACACAAATTGCAAGCAAGGACCAACACATAGTAACACACTGCATTTTACCATCGGTCTGTGCACTCAGTGTTTAACATAACTTCAGTATAACCAACACTTTTTCTAAAAGGAACAAATTTGAAGATGTATAGCAACACATGTTTTTCTGGTTTGTTATATATACCGTCTGTGTATTTGAATGTCTATATAGTGTTTTATAGCTTTGAGGGAGCAAAGTGCTTAACACCATATTTTTGAATCCTGTTTTTAAGAGTCCTCTTCACATTGGGATTGTAAAGAATAGGAAACAGAAATCGGATAATTATAAGTAACTAAAACTGAATTGCAGCGTTTATCACTACCGGTCCTTCAAAGACTCAAGAACTTAATTTAGACCTTTAACTAAATTGAAGTTGAATGCTCAAAATTTAAGCATTTTGAGATGCTTAAATATGAAGATATTGATCAGTTTCTCTTTACCTGACCTCCCGTGCTTGCCAAAGCTCAGCTATTCACACCAATGGTGTTGTACTCTACTTTCTTCTTTCAAGTAGCTGTCATACAACCGTGCCAGCTGAATTTTCCAATTAACACTAAGTTCAGTTTATCCATGTTCTGTGTACCTTAAGTTGATTTTCAGGTGACTTTTGAAGTCTGAAAATAAGAATGTCTGTTTCTGGGGAAAAAAAACAAACAATTCTTCTCTGTTCTTTCAGACGGTGCGAGAGAGGAGGCAAGGCTCACACCAGACCCCAGAGGAGGAGACGGGAGCCAGCCGGTGCAGTAGTGTCAACACGGAGACGGTAACTTGACTGCACAGTTCGAAATGTGGATCCCAGCACACGGCTGGCGTGGGCGCAGGGGCTGTTCTAGTTTACTAGAAGACTCATGTAATGTAAATGCAGTGTACTGTATAATGGTTTAGGCAGTACATAAATGGCAAAATATGGGATCCTCTGCTAAATATGTATATGAATGAATTTTCAGATGAATATTAATATCTTCTTAAAAGCTCATGTGATTTGACTGCAGTCAGCAATAGATCAAGTGACTATGCCTTACACCTTGTATAGCTCTGATGGAGTGCAGTGTTCATGAGGCCAAGGGAGATGATTGGGGTCACATAGTCAGACATTCAGACTGAAGCGGACAGAAAAATCAAAGGAGCACAATCTGTTTCAGCTCAGGAACTCGTGACGCAGTACCTAGCTAGCAGCAGCCGTACATCCTGGTTGAGGTAAATGTGCAGTGCACTATGAATTAAGCTTGGCTTAGTAGGGTTTGCTTTTCGGCTGCCTTTTCTGTGTTTTGGCTCTGAGCTTGATGGTAGCAAGTTATTTTTGCAAGTCATCCCCAGCATGTTTTCCAACCTTAGGTCTTGTCAAAGGCCTGGGGGAGGATTATTCTATCATTTCAAGAGATTGAGCTCAGCTTGTCCTAAAAATGCACTCTGTCTTAGGCTGGTTGGCTACTGCTGTAACAGCTGACAGCACTGGTTTCAGAACAGGAGGCTGCAGCAACTCTGGGAACTACAATCCTTCAGTAATTTAAAGCCATGTCCCTGGTTATCTGTTCCTTTGTGTTCTCAACAAAGGGGAAAGCAGGACCAGCAGTGCTTACATGTCCACTAATAGCCTGTCTAAACACCCACTGAACTTTCATCCCTAAACATCCCACAGAACTTCACCTGTAGATGACAATTTAAAACCAAGACCTTAATCTGTTATTGTCTACTTATACTTTATAGACACTTTATCTGATCTGAGGACAAATGATGTAATGGGGGTTGGCACAGGTTGCTTAAGTGCATCTTTATTGCTGCTTTACTGCCCCCAATTAATGTTCCTGTTTTAACTGAATCCAGTCTCCACAGGCTTTTGTAAGTAGTACGTGTTACTGCGTCAACACTTTTCCTATCATTTTCCACCGTAGTCCTGCAGTTTGCTTGGTATATCTGGTATACATCTTTCCATCTGTGTTTTTTTTGCCTTCTTCATCTTAAGAGTTGATCAAAAATAAACATGGAATGACCTGTAACATTTCATTCATGTCCTATGTGCAACGCCAGCAGCCTTTTTGTCTGCCACCCTGTTATTCTCGCGATAGAAAGCTCTCCCCAAACGTTGCGTGAGTTTTGGATCTGAAACCAGTCCAGGCTGGTCCTGGATAGACTTATGAACATCCCCAGTGTTGAGTGATTTGTAGACATTCCTCGAATCTTCGTGCTGACACAAGTGGCTGATTTGGGAGTGCCTCCTGACACTTTCGTTGTCTTTGTGACAAGGGAATTGATGTGAGAGTGAAAGACTTGCATGTTGTTTAACCAGCATACTTTGCTAGTGACACAATGCCCTGACCACCACGGGCAAGTGTTCCTGAGGCATCCTTAACACAACCTTTGCATGCTGTTGTTGGAGAGAAAAGTAATGGAGAAGTTGCTGCTATTATAATCAGCATATCTGCCCAGTTACTACCGGTCACCTTGTGCGTGATAAGTACAGCACAGCAATTTGAAAGTGCAGTAGGGCTTCATCATCATTTCATCACATGCACTTAAATAGACAGGCACAATGGTAAAGGGCTCCTTGTGGTAGAGATGGAGAAACAACAGAGAGAGCGCAGAGCAGGCAGGTGGCTGTATACAGTCCTGGGGCTCAAGGCTACCTGCCGTTCCACTTGGAGCGATGTTTTCAAGCTTGTCCTTCAACGCACTGACGCTGGATTTCTTGAAAGAGTAGGTCTCCCACAGCTGTTCCTAGAGGACAGATTGGAGGAATTACTGCATCAAAATCACTCCTGCTTTGCACGGGTCCTGCAGGATTGCAGTGCCACAGGAAATCAAAACATCCGTTAGATTGTCTGTGATGTACATATTTTGATTTTATATATCAATAGAAGTTCCCACCTTTATCAGGGTAAGTCAGAAAAACCGTGAAACTTTGATGTAAATGAACATTTTTGTCTGATTTACAACATAAACCAAATTGGTGACTAACCCCTAGATGGGTTTGGTAGCAGAGTTTAGTTTATTTTCAGTTTACATCATGATCAAGGCCCAATTCAGAAATCCTTTGTTTTAAGCTATCATTTGAAGTGGTTAGAGGTGGGCTAGGAGGCAAGTGAATGCAGACAATTCAGAGGTCTTTGTGGTGATTTGCACCTTTTATCTTCATGGTATATTGTTGGAACCACAATAAAGAAGAATAATTCAACAGCCATAGAACACAGTACCAATACAGAGGCAATGAACTAGGAGGGGAGGAAGGTGGAGAGGGGAAAAGTGTGATCCATCACCATCCTCTTCCTCAAACCTTAGGCCATGTGAGAAGACATTGTCCTGATCTGGAGACCAGATTCTAACAAAGTAATCTGAGCACTTATTGTAAAGATTTTGCTGTTTTACTTTTTAAGCAATTCAGCTTTCCTACTTTGTGGAATCTTCAGGCTAAAAACGTTCTCTCCTAATTGGTGATGTGTTTATAGAACAAGGAGATTGATTCCCATTCACTTTGGGCATCCATGTTGTAGGGAGGGATATTTGGTTTTGCTTTGATTTCATTTAATAGAATGCATGTTTTTTATTTTTTAGACTGTAAAGGTGTTATATATTGTTTTCAGATTACAGGGGTAAAATTGTTTTAGGTTTGTAGGATGTATTCCCCTGAAACACAAATATTTTTGGTGTTTTGCTGTTATAATATTTTTAACAGCTGTCTTGTCAAGTCTTGAGTTTGATTAATTTGTTTCGCCATAACTGTGCTGGAGAATTAAAAAAAACTTGCGTGTCTCACATTTGCCTAACGCTTGAGTTATTTCCTGACCCTGCTATTTTGTAACAGTGTGCATGTCTTTAGGAAGAGAGGGAAATAAGAAATGACATGCAAGCATTTTTTATTCCTTCTGTGGTGATAATCATACATCTGCCCTGGTGCCTGATGTCTTCAGGAGTTTAAGGACCTGTATTGGAACTTGTCTAGCTCATGGGCTTCATTCCTGCTAAAGATATTATAGAGACGCTAAGAAGGCTTAGCATTAAACATACAAGTAGCTAATACTTAATATGTGTAGACCAAGACAGACTGTTTTATTAGTAAAATGGTTATCAATAGTGGTTTATAACAGGAATCTTTAACCCTGGTCTTGGAAAATTAAATGTAGCTAGCCTTATAAGTCACCCTTAATCATTTGTTTTTTTTTTAATGATGAGCAATATATGTAAGGTATTTATATATTAAATAATCTAATGAAAATGTGTTCATTTAAAGGAGTTATGGATCTTTGAGGAATGAAAAGTATTACGATTTGTACCAGATCTTTAAATCACTTAATTTGATAAATTGCCTGTGAAACCCAGGATTGGAGACCCCAACTTACCATCTCATCCATTAGCACTGAATTTCTAAAGAAATGAAATAAGTTAAAATAAGCCTTTTCTATTGTACAGTTTGATCTTCTCGCCTCAAGCGTGGGCTTGACCTCGGTAGTGTCCGACACGGTGACTTTCACGTCTGCCGAGTTGTGATGAGAGGGCAGAGCAGTGCATGGCCGTGCCGTGCACTTCCTGGCGAGAGGGGACTGGCGCTATCGCGGTGTTTGTTGATCTGGCCCTGGGCAGTGTTTGAGCTGGGAGGGCCTTTGCCCATTGTGAGCTGTGGCTGGGTTGTGTTTGGAGCGGCCTGGGCAAGGTGAGTGCCCGGTCGGTCACTGACCCTCCACGCTCAGCCCTCACTACAGCTTGCGCACAGCCTTGCTGACTCCTCGTCCCTCGAATCCCTTTTCTCTTTCTTTCTCGTTGGGGGGAAAAAATGTTGAGTGTTTTTGCAGTTCTTGAAAGCTGCTTTCCGTTCCGTGGGGGGGGCCAGAAAGCCAAAAGTGAATAAATCCGATCAGAAGAATTCATAGGAGCGTTTACCAATTTCTTTCATTTTTATTTTCAAATATAATTGGCTAAAAAGCTATGGATGAGTTTTTTTTTCCTTCTACCATGATCTACAGCATCTGTTTTACTGTCCATTGAGTAACAGTATTGTCTCCTCAATGAGAAAAGAAAGCGTCTTGTTCTGACAGTATTTCAGGGGTTTTAAAGATGAAAATCGGGAAAAGAATGAGATTCCACTAAGACTGGTGCAATAAATTCCGAAAAAAGATTTTTAATGAATACTCTGGCTCCACCCCCAAAAAAAAATTGATTTATGCTCTTTCGCAATAACGAAACTGTGGCAAGGGAATAACAAATACATTGTTTTTAGATCATCCTCCTCTAGAACATTCATGCACTGATCAAACCAGCTACTCAGGTTGAAAATTGTGAAACAAGGTACTGGCAGAAATGAGGAAGAGAACATGTCTTACAGCATTCTTTTTAGGTAGGTAATTTTCCTTTTATAATTGCAGCCTAGAGCAGCATGCTTGTCATGACATGGATGGCATTGATTGGGGTTAAAGGTTCTAGGTTGGAAGCATTTATTGTTCGAATCTTCTGCTAAATATTCCCATGTTATCATTTATGTAATCATACCAAAGTTCTTAATTTTGATTTGTAGTTTGGTAGATTAGTGATTGTTTTAAGTGAGGTATTCGGGCTTCTGGCAAAGTGATCCAACATTGGTCATACTTTCATTGAGCACAAAAATTGACCAGTGAAAAAAGTTTTGGCTATTTCTATGTGAAGATGTGAAGTTTTGAACCAGCAACCTTCCAGCCACAGGCGCAGATCCTTAACCACTGTGCCACCTCTCTGCCGAAGTATTGTGTGGCCTTTGAGATTAGAGCCTGGTGATTTGGATTCCACAAATGCACACCAGACCTGTACGCTGACATTCCTTCTTCCCGAAACCACAGATGGATTTTTCCAATATCAGGCTTGTCTCTCACTTAGTCACCCTGGGCCATAGGCCAAAACCAGCATGTACAATGACATCTTCGTCCTGCTCCATCAGATTGCATGTGCATGATGTCAGTGTTTGCTCCCCTCTTTGGAGCCACCCAGGTAGTTTCGGACTAGCATGTACCTTTGAGCGTCTGCAGTCACTCTGCATGTTTCACTGAGGAGGAATTCAGGTATTTATGTTATTGAAGTCCATTGCTTTGAGAAACAGGAATGGAATTGCATTGATCACTCAAACTGAATCCTCCCACTGGCCTTTGTTTTACACCTCTTTTGCTCCAGAGCAATCAAGAGGAGCCCATTAGCCCACCTTGCTTAGTGACCCATGAATCCCAAAATATCTACTTCAGTATGTCTAGGGACAGATGTATAAATGCTCTTCCTCTCAACTTTCATTTGTACACTGCGGTCTTCTTTCACTGCAGGTCCTGAAGTATTTTTCTGGTTTGACTCAGATTCTGTCAAAATTTTTGCACTTAAAAAAAAAAAGAATTTTACTTTTTGTTTGTTAGGATTATTTGATAGCGGTGCTTTAATGCGACCAGCTTGAAATTGCTGTATTGATTATCAGGTTAACTAATGAGCTGGATGTAGGAAAATTCAGTATTGGAATAGAGGAGTCAGAAACCATTGAATAGACATGTTTTAAATGCTCTGTATGGGATTTTTTTCTATAGGCTAGGATTAATCTTTGAAGTGCAGATTGAACTGGAGTGGCAATGTATATTTTGTAAATTAAATACAAAAATGTCCACCATTTTCTGTGTATTGCTCTGGGGAATTCTAGGATTTGACCCTAATTATGTAACAGTGATAAGAAAGACCATTCAGTTGGGAAGGACTTGATTGGAATCCAAATTTGAGTAATATAAGATGTTTTTCAGATCTCTTCTTACTATTTAATGTTTCCGGTCATGCCTGAAGGACAGGGGCTGTTCATGTTCTGAAGCTGTGATCCAATCAGGCTTCAGTGTAAACAGTTTTGTAATAATGATACAAAGGACACCTGAAGTCATAGGATTCAGTAAATATGAGACTGGTGTATCAGGGAAATCCTGATTAATCATGAGCAAACTCTTTAGTTTCATAAGGCTCTTTACTGCATGGCTTGCATGTCTGCATGGTGTTTTTTTTTTCTTGTTTACCCTTTTTTCTCTAAGGATGTTTGTTTTTCCCCTCCGAGTTAAAAAATGCTGTGCAGGTCAGGAATGTAGTTCAGTGTTTACATAAACTTTTTATTTTGCCTGACCAGTTTGCTGAAGGCATAAGTAGGAATATTCATTGATTTGTACTTGCTTTGTTTACAAAAACAAAGGATGAAACCTGACCTGTAGAGCGCATTCAAGACTTACAGTATAACAAGTTACCGCTTTCTGTTTAAGTTTGTCTGAAACAAGAGCTCCCTCTTCTGGTGTGCTGAGGCACTAGCAGGAAACGGGAACACACGAGTGGTTTTCAGCTGTGTTGCCCGGACAGAGTTCTCTCCTAAACTGGTGGTTAGGTGTGGCTTGTGAAATCCATCTGGCATGGCATTCCATTGGTTCAAGAAGGAACATTCCAGGTGACGAGTTTTGCACACCCCTCTTTCTCGCACGATCTGTCAGTGTTAAGGACACTTCTGTCCGACTCCTGAGCTCCTCAGTCCCGCTGCCTCATGCATCCCAGTGCACTAGTACACGTCTGCCTCTTGCTCTTTTCTGCTTCAGCCAAGTTTTTCTATACACCCCCAAAAGAGATGGTCATGTTCCCTTCCTCCTGTTCTACTGCTGAACCCCATGAACAGACATTAAGGAACTTCCTCTTTTTGTCCTGAAGCAGAAACATTCTAGGTTCCTTAGATTTTACAGTTACAGATTATTTACAGTTCTAATTGAAAATGTACACTTCTGACATTTTTGTTCAGTTCATGTTTGTGGTGCAAATAACAGCAGCTTTGGTCTGCACGGGTCTAGATCAGGTCTTGCCTGATGCAAGGCTCAAGTGACTGGATCCTGCTGTGCTTGTGCCTTTTTTTTTCTGCTTGGTGTTGTACTGCTTGCACATCCTCATGTGAAGGCTAGAGATTATAACCAGGCATGGCCCTGTAGTTTCTGCTCTTGTACTCTGGCCACTTAGCTGCTGCCCTGTGGAGGTCTTCCCCAGGTCTGGGGCTGACGGTGTTCTCTCTGCTGCTCCGCAGGACCTGGTGGACTGGAGGAAGCCCTTGCTGTGGCAGGTGGGCCACCTGGGAGAGAAGTACGACGACTGGGTGCACCAGCCCGTGGATCGGCCTATCCGTCTCTTTTACTCGGACGTCATAGAAGCCTGCTCCAAAACCTCCTGGTGAGTGTGTTTGAAGTATATAAGCGGGCACATGTGGCCCCCATATGTAAAGCAATAGTCTCTTAATCGAGTGCTGCCTTCTGTGCTGCATTGACATCTGTATGGTGTGTGCTGGGCTCATGAGACACAGTAAAGACCGCAGCTGCTAGTTGTCGGGTTCTGATTGTGCCGTGACTACTGAGACCTTTGTTTAGGGTATCCAGGTTTATAATGAAAGGAGCAACTATATTGACGTTCTATTAATTTCACCAAAAGTGACTTTTGTAAGCACCGCACTGCTAATTTGTACAGCAGGTTAAAATTAAGTTCTACAGCATCTAGTCATATACCTACCATTGCAAAATGTACGATACTATGTAACCTCCAATGAGGAAATTAAAACGTTGGCTTCATGGATTAACACAGAAGCAATACGAGCCCACTGTCGCCCTGGCATTCACATTCCAAGGGAAATCCTTTGAATGGAGAAGAAAAAGAGCAGGCAGTTTCAGCTTACAGTTATGCCGTTATGACTTGCTGTGCCTGATGTGATTTCCCTAGAGACGAACGAATGGCGTTATTCACATGATTGCTAAGAGTGGCTGCTCTGTGGTGTTAATTTGCTTTGTTGCGTTTGTCTGTTTGGTTCTGGTGTGGCAGCTGAACCCTCTCACCGTGCAAACTGTCTCTGTGCGCAGGTACATGGTCCCTATAGTCTGGTTACCAGTTGTTGCGTACCTGAGCTGGTACTGCTTTTCCTCTCTCGCACGGGGTGACACCAGGCTTTTTGCTTCCTTCACCACAGGTAGGTGTGTCCCACATTGCAGGTATTTCAGATTCCCACCTCTGGCATTTTATTGGCTGACACTTTTCTCAAAAGCTTACTAAGGCATTGGCTGTCTCTTGTAACTTAACTCTTGGTCTTGTTAGAATTTTCCACTCTGGATCTCTTTCAGAATGGTGTGTAAATAGTCGTACAGAGCACTTCAGCCTTTCTTGTAGCACTGTCCAGCTTCCTGACCCTTGTCCCTGTTGCAGAATTCCCCACACTCTCAGGTGGTGCAGGCCAGGGCAGACGCTAGAGCAGCACCACCCCTGACAGATGTGTGTTTTCATATTTGTAAATCAAGCAGAATCGCACCCCAGGAGATATGCTGTATCATTGCATGAGTGGCACCACATCTGGAATATCAGGAGGCTGAGAAGGAAGTCTGCGAGGTGTGGCAGGACTGGTTAGCAGAGTGACTGTTCAAGTAATAGTTGATATCTAAGTCTGCTTGTTGTTGAGGTTATATTTTATTAAATCGTTTTCAGTTATTTTTTCAATTTCAAATAGACTAAACTATAGAAGGAGAAATTCCAATTAACATATTTGCTATTCCTCTGAAATGTGCACAGGCCCAGGCTGGCAGGCTGCTTTCCGCTCACTCTCCTGGGCCTCACTGTGTGTTTTTCTGTATCTATGGCAGATTACTCCATACCGATTCACAAGTACACCTTCCCATTCATGTTCCTGCTTGGGATGTTCCTCTGGTCCCTGGTCGAGTACCTCATCCACCGCTTCCTGTTCCACATGAAGCCTCCTGCCAGCAACTATTACCTCATCACCTTCCACTTCCTCCTGCATGGGCAGCACCACAAGGTAAGAGGTCAACAGGGCCGTGCTGTGGGATTAAAGGGGCTGGTGAGATTGCAGCCTCGCGCTTTCTCCCAGAACATAGAACCAAGCTTCGCTGCTGCCTGGGAAGGGCAACAGTCAAATAAGCAGCAAGACAGTAGGAGCTGACTGAGGCGAAAACCTAGAGGATCTTGTGCAGGGAAAGTCGGGACACATCTGAGGAATAAAAAAGAAGAAATATCTTTAAGTCTTGCATTCCTCTGGTGGACATTAGAGATGGACATTTCCTGTCCTCGCAGGCCACAGGCTCCTCAGAAATTCATTCTACTTCTCGCCTCAATTACTTTATTAAATTGAATGTTTGGATAAATGGCCAAATTATCGGAGATCTGATGGGTTTTAGAATTAGCCAATTGACAATGATTTGGGCAGTGCTATGGGGTGGTGGTGAGGGCTTGTGATTGCTGGTGTGCCCTTGAGTAAGATATTTCCCTCAGATTTCTGCAGTAAATGCCCTGCTGTATAAGTGGATCTCCAGGCTGGAAATGAGCTTGACACCTCTTTTGAAGGACTAACCCATCTACTTAAATAAAGAGTGAAGACCTCCAAGGCCCCAGCTGCCCGTGACTGGAGTTGTCTTCATTCTGAAGAAGTGTAGAATAAACCTAGGGGAATGTACAGCAGTTATAGAGCAATCCTGCAACCCTAGGGCAGTGCTTGGGGCCTTGATTTTCCAGTGACAATGGATGTTTGCTTTTCAGTCCCCATATGATGGGTCCCGCCTGGTCTTCCCCCCCATCCCCGCCTCTATAGTCATCGTAGCCTTCTATGGCCTCATCCGGCTGCTGTTGCCTGAGGCCCTGGGTGTGTCCATCTTTGTGGGGGGTCTTTGTGGCTACGTGGTCTACGATATGATCCACTACTACCTACACTACGGCAGCCCCAGCAAAGGTTCCTACATGTATGGTCTGAAGGCCTACCACGTCAAGCATCACTTTGAGCACCAGAGATCAGGTACAGGCTGGCCTCTGTTCCTCTGTTTTATCTTCTAACCATCTTGCAAACTCTGATCATGAAAGTTAAGACTTTTATGTCTTTTTCATGGCACTGTTACATGTTTCACTTCTGGAGCATCCTACTTCAGATTAAAGCTTATATTATTATACAGTATTTAGTAACAAAATTAATCTTTAATAGCAATAATCTCATTTAGTCTTTTCTGTATGTTATACATAGATTAGGGAGCACATTGCAGTAATTTGGCACAAAGTGACAGAGCTGGGGCTTGAACTGGCAGCCTGCTTGTCACAAGCCTTTAACCTCAACGACGTGTCCCTCTCGCGTCTAGTCTTGTGTGAGAGCAACATGCCACATTGTGTTCCTGATTTTTCACTGGCACTGATGGTTGTGAGTTTCTGTCCCTCTGCTGCAGGTTTTGGAATCACCACTCGGTTCTGGGATCACCCGTTCCACACCCTAATCCCGGAAGAGACCTTTGAGAAGGGACACTGACTCCTGGGGACCTGGCCTTCCTTGTGCCTTGTCCAGCCCCCGAATCCAGCGGGCTCCGTAGCAGGGAGAAGAGATCTGGCCTCAGCCCCATGTGATTTTGTGCCTTTGCATTTATGAATCTGTCCTATGTCTCTGTTTTCTAACTATCTTCCACAATCCGAGGTACCACTCAATACCTGGGGATTTTTCCATATTTATTGATTGTTTAAAAAAAGAAAGAAATAGCTTTTTTTATTATTGTTTTAGAGTATTGTTAATGTGTATGCACTAAACCACAAAGTTCAGCATAATTCTAAGACGAGCTTCTGAAGTGCTGGTGCGATGCAGAATTGGATGACAGGTCTAATATGAAGGCAGCATGACAAATTGCAGGGGGACAGCAAGACAAAGACCGTTCTAAAGCCTGTGCCGGACATGAGCCAAACTGTTACTGCTTTGGCACCACAAGGAAGACAATCTGTTGTCAGCAGCTTCACCAATTTTGCACCCTCCCAGCTTTGTTCTGTTGGGTAAGGGTACTGTTTTTTTTTTAGGTTTTCTGTTCTTTTTGTCTAAATGGTGTCTTCCTGCTTTGTTAGCAACTCGCACACTGTCACTGTACAGACTGTGCTGCCACCTGTAGTACATTTATAGGAATGTTTGTCTAGGTGCTGAAATATTTTATTGATGGCTACCTATTATTTCAAGCAAGCGCCTTCCAGGCTGACATATGAGTGTTATTCTTCTTCAGTTGTTACAGAACTCATTTATACGAAGTATAGGGGTGGCTGTCCATCTTGGTATAGGATGGCTGCACAGTTACCTTCAAAGCCTTAACATACTTGCAAAATATTGCATAGAAAGAGAAATGGAGGAGGATGGAGTTCTGTGTTTTTGAAGAATTACTTTTGCATCAGTCTTGGTAACAAAGCATGCAGTCATCAGAGAAGAACTGGCACGTTGGTCTCCTTTCTAAAATTATACTTTTCTGTTTATGTGTTATGTAAATGTGAAGTGTTAGTTTACTAGGAACCCCAGGAGAACTGTGAAGTTTCTCCATCAAACTCTGATGTTAAACAGGGGTGTAAAATACCTACTTCTGCCACATCGACTCTAGATCTCCCTTGCTTGAGAATCCAAAGAGGTTCTTGTTCCTCTGCTGTTAGAATGTCTCCATGAAACAGCAGCATGCGGATTGTTACAGTCTGTGCATCACGTCTGGATGGAAACAGCATTCAGCTGCACTTTTGCCATGAATGCTGAACTCTGCTCTCCAGCTAATGTATCTCCAGCTCTCTGCTGTGCCACTGCTCCTCTGGGCTTTTTGCACACTTCCTTTCTTGTGCTGTTGCTGTACCAGTGACCTCTCAACAGCTCCCTTGTTCCTGCGGGAATACCTACAGCCAAATCGGGAGAAACCATGAGAAAGCCATAGCTTTTAACGTCTCTTCACGTCGTTTTCCAGATTTCTTGTAGGATCTTAAAAGTTTAAAAAGACTAACAAGAAAATTATTTTTTTAATGCGATTTACCCAGGTTTGAGCGACAGGGTAGATGACAAACTAGGTGCCTTAATTTTGTGCATTAGCTAGAGAAGTAGAAGTAGACCCTTTCATTCAAGCTTTTACTTTCTGTTCTCTGATCTGCTTCACTTTTGTTTTCTTTGGGGAAGGGGGTTTGGAGGGAGGGATATATTTTGTTCTTGTTGCCCTTTAGAGACTCTGTAAAGTGTGGGTGTTGAGGGAAATACTGGTCTTCAGCAGGATACATGCCAATCTACAGACATTGTTGCAGACCAACCTGCAGAGGGTATGGGGCCCAGTGTGCTGGTTTCTGACAGTGTAGACTGAAGATGGCAAGCGAAACCAGAAGTTTATTTTTAAAGGAGAGGACCTGTCTCATCCAATAAAATCATATGACACTGAATGTGGATGTTTGGCACCGAGCGTCAACCAAGTTTCTCCGACTTGTCTTCTTTTTTTTATTTGTTAACACTTGCTCTGAAGGACTTCAGAAATCGGACGTAAGAGAGACTTTCATGTTTCCACAGGGCTGACACCTCTGCTTAGAGGGTTCTGGAACAAAGCCATCTCCTGCAACCTGTTTTATTGTTCTTAATATTTTTGTGCAGGGAGGCATGTTGACCACAGGTTGGCATTTATTAGAGTCAGAAATGTACTAATGAAGACCAGAAACCAACTTAAATATCTGTTACCAAATCTGCTTGGCACTGTGCATGCAAAATATCCCCACTACAATAATTCTATCTCCTATGTTTTAGGTTATGCTAAATAAATTAAAAAAGTACCAGGGTGAACAGACGGGCATTAATCCATTTGGTTGACTTAAGGATGGAAAGCCTGTTGGGATTTAGAGAGGAATCAAAAATACTACAGTTGAAGGATATTTAAATACAGGTGTAGTAGGAACACTATGAAAATAAATGCAGTCTGTCAGAAATACAAAATGCTTTTTTACAGCAGTGGGAAACGTCCTCATTCAACTGCAGTGTGGGGAAATAAACCGTGGTTAAGTGTTTGTCACCTTAAAATCGTGTGGCCAGGTCACTGGCTGAAGTTCTTGATACCACTTCAAAATCCTTCCAACAGCTCTTCCATCCGGCACCATTCTTACCCAACGCACAGTGTCCTGTCTAATGACTTCTAGAAAACACTTCTGAACATTTTCAAAAGTAACATTTTGTAAATGTGTTTCTAGGAAGAGATAATAGTATTTGGTGAATGTTTATTTTTAAAAAAAGCTTGTGGAAAATATGTATATTAAAAAGCTTCTAATCACTTTCTGATCCGTTTACTATGTGATATTTTAAAAAAATATTTTTGAAATATTAAATTTCTATGCAAATGGTGAACTGTAATTGTAAATAAATATGTATATTTCTGAATGGTGGAGTTTATTTTCTGTCCATCCTTTGGGTTATTTTTTTTATTTCCAGTATGAGGATGCAGTTTGCTTTCTGAGGTGGAGTGGGGCCTCTAAAGCTCCTTTTCTCTAACAGGAGTGTGTATTTCTGATGAAGAGCAGGGAGCATCATGCTGTGCCCTTGTCTGGCTGCCATTATGGCAGTAGGATGACGTTAATAGAAGTGCCTAACTGATCTGAAGTTTTCATCCAGCTGTTTCTTGGAAGACGCCAAGATATTCGCTCTAAGGGGTATTCCTGGCTCCGACAAACTTTTCTGCAAAAAAAATGCCTCCTGTTCTCCATTTTAAATACACTTCTCCTCAGTGTCTTTTTGTCCTCTGATTTGTTCCACATCATTAACTGAAGGTTGTCGGGTTGAGTGTGGGAATGCTTCAATATTTGAGTCGGGCTTTGCGTACTCTACCACTGGAACAATTAAAATGTACCCACCTTAAAAACAGGGTTTTCAGGACCCATGTAAAGCTGGTTTATTTTTTTTATGATTTTCTAGTTCTGAATTGTGATTGTACTTACACCCCAGTCGGTGAGGGCTTCTCTGTGTCATAATTCCTAAGTTGCAAGGGCCAATCTTACCTGCTCAACATGATGAGCCTATTGATGAAATAGTCCTCCATTGTGTTGCAGTGAAAGACCACAATTTCCTCTCTTGAGGTGAAAGAGATCGTGTTAAATTGTTATATAGACGTTACTTCTTGACACATGAAATATCACAAGAAAAACACTCTGGCTCACTGGGTTTAAATTGTATCAGAATGCTTTGACCTATCCATGTGCATCTGGTAGAACTCAGCTGTACCACCTGAGAGTCGAGGACTACTGACCCTCTCACACCTGAAATTCAAAGACCCCACACTTTTCTATCTTAGGTTTGAGACTTTCTTTCTAATCATACTTCCAATATTCTCATCCACTTATGAACTTCAGGGTTACAGGGGTGCTGGAGCTTGTCCCAGCAAACAATGGGCGTAAGGCAATATACCCTGCGTAGGAGAAGCCAGTCCACCAGGGTCACCAGATCTTTCAGTTGTGATCAGTTGACCCCAGACTTTGCAGCGTTTACACAAATAAACATCTTACATTTAGGAAGGAGTTACTATGTTAGTTCATTGGGTTAGGTGTTTTCTTTTAATTTTTAACCATGTTCTCGAAAAAGTATCACTTCCAAATTACCGCTGGTACAACACGAGAGCCCATATTCACATATTTAGGTATTTCAAGATCGATATAATTTAACAATAAAAAACAAAATTGAAAGCACGAGCATAATGATATAATGATCATAGACTTTACATTTCTATTTATTTTTTTAAGTAAAAGCAGAAGGTGTTTCCCTACCTTACATATACGATTAAAATTGTTCAAATACCATGCGTTCATTACAGAAGGCAGCGGAGACAATTATATTGCAAATAAAAAAAGTATTTATTTCGAAGAGTACGGGACATTGTGAATCATTATAGAAGTTAAAATAAAAAATAAGCCAATGTAATTATTAGGAAAATAAGTAAAGTATTTTAAAAGTAGATTCTCATTGACGGTATTCAATCCGATCCACCTGGCGCTGCTGGCTTGAACAGCTCTCAGACCTGTGATTGGCTAAACCCCCGAACAGCTCGGGTCGCGATTGGGTGAAGAGTGAGAATCGACACTCTGATTGGTTAAAGCGCCACAGCGGAAGTTCCGAGAACATGTACTGTAGATACACAGGTGATGGATGATCTTCCTGGTCCAAATACTGTAGCCCCGGTTAACCGTGTGTGCTGTATGAGCACGCTGGATATACAGTTACACATCCATTGGTTTCCAATTACTGATCAATCTAAGAGATGTCGCACTGAGGTCAAAACTGAATAGCAGACAAAGAATGTCATGGCATCCACAGCGCGTTCACGACTCCGATAGCATGTCACGATAGGAGTCTGCGCATCACGATCACATCGCGATACCCATTGTGATTGACGTATCACTGTTGCGACATTAAGTCCATATATCGCGATATAACATACCCCGACAAAATGCCCCTGCCCTCATGTCGCGACATGAAGCCCGCATATCGCGATATGACAAACCCTGATAAAAATGCCCCGCCCCATGTCGCGACATGAAAGACCCTATATCGCGATATAACATGCCCAGCCAAAACGCCCACCCCCCTTGTCGTGACATGGAGTCCATATGTCGCGATATTACAAAAACTATCATGCCCATGTCGCGACATAAAGCCCCTTATATCGCGATATGACATACCCGGACAGAATGCCCCGCCACCATGTCCCGACATGGAGTCCATATGTTGCGACAGGACATACCCTGACAGGATACTCTGACCCCATATCACGGCTCAAAGTCCATAAATCGCGACAAGTCCTATCTGGGTATATGATGTCCTGATATGAGTCCTTTGTTGCGACAGCGGTGCCAGGGTGGCATGGAAGCAAGGAGCCAGTCTTGATATAAACTGCCGCGATATACATTCAATTTACATGGGGTCCCTATCATGACATACTGCAAAGGTCTTGTCGCGATATAATCCCACAGTTATGGGTTTGACATCAATGTGTCATGGTAGGGAAAGAAAGGAAAACTGCTTTAGAAAATTAAAACTGTACTTTAGCTCTGTAAACGTCCTTCACTTAAACTGCAGGGCATTTAAGAGGCGATCTGAATAGTTATCTGTAAAATGCACACTCACATCTATCCGTCAATATTATCTTAGTTATTCATGCATTCCAAAACTTATAATTTGTTTACAGGAGAAATTTTAGAACCTCCTCGTACTTAACTCCTACAGGTATCGAGCTGCTACAAGCAAACGCGTGCACTGCCGCTTACGGTCCAGAAACACTTGTATTCGGGAAGCCAGGCTGTTCTCCTTACAGCGTCTCATGTGTCTTATTTGTTTCGGGACTGGTCTGGTCATCTACAGGCGGCTTTTTGAAAAACGCAAATATATGCATTTATTTTGCCATGTTGGCTAATAAACCAAAACCCTAGCGCTAGACAGCTCTAAGAGTGTCTGAGGACAACGATAGGCAATTATTATTATTATTATTATTATTATTATTATTATTATTATTATTATTATTATTATTATAGGCAATTAGGCTACGGCTACGCATGCACCGCCCCACGACATTTACAATAATTTTCTTATTGGTCACAAAAGATACAGCGAGACAATAGCAAATCACATACGATGAAAAAAATCAAACACGTAACATTAAAAAGCAAATCATGTAACGCAAACAAGGGGGGAAAAAAATCTGAAATTACTTTGGACTGATTGGGTAGGCCTAGGATCAATCCGGTGGGCCCGGCCCACCCGTGGCTACGCCCCTGGTCCTGAGTCTGCGTATGGGGTCAAGGTTTGCAGAAGTGAACTGTCCTGCTGTTTAGTGACTCCAGTCCTCAGCAGCGCCCCTCCGTCTCCACGGCACTTGGTGAGCCTGACCTTCCAGGAACGGAAAGACAGCAGCGCTTGGCTGTTGTTATTTATTTCCGCCGTTCCTCTCACCGTCTGAATTCCAGTTTAATTGCCCTGGGCATGTAAGCGAATCTGTGTTCTACGGTAGCTGCTGAATTCAGAGAGTTGTTTTTTTTTTTTAAAGAATGTGGTCTTAAAACACTTAACGAGACTCCCTTTACTCAAACGCAAACAAAAGAGACTTATTACAAAGCTGAACTAAAACATATTCTACTGAATTTATACTGTGCGTGCTGGGAGTTATCGGTAATGAGCAACGTCTGATGATGGCAAAGTTTTGTTGGTGACGAAGGATTTGACTTTGGCCAAATAGCAGTGATGCACTGCACACTCCTTAAGTTAGAGAACCCGATACACTTAGCAGGCGAGTGCGTCTTTCTTTTCTCTAGAAGCTCATTCATCAGACGAGAATCAAAAGAAGCGCAAATATAACCTGAACGCCAGCGTTTCCGTTTTATTATAATGTGATGAAGGGTTTGGTGAAAAAGAACAGTTTGGCTGCATGTGATTTTTAGTGTTTCACTGAGCACAGGCCCCTGCACAGGTGAAGGGTCTTGTGTTAAGTGAGGCTGGTGTGTTAGAGAACAATACCGTCCATGATGATTAGGCCCCATAAAATTGATTTGTAGAAGTCCCAGTTTTTGTAGATGGTGTGAAGGAGTTTGTCCTTCAGCATATGAATTTAGAACAGTCAGAATTCATTCAAAAGTAACAAAATGCACATTGCAGATTGCTTCCCAGTGATATTGTCTTCTTAACGCTGCTTGCAGTGCACTGTGTGTGGTGTGTTCAGACACGGATATCTATGTAAGAAAAACAGATACAGCAGCATGTTTCAGTAATATTGTTTTAATGAAACACACACATAGATTTGCACAAAAAAATACATGTACAAAATAGACCACCTCTGGCTACAGTACACTTCTGCATCACTGTTATTGTAGACAATTGTTTACAGGAGGCAACAGGAATCAGGTATCACAAAACTCTTTTCTTTTAGTAGGTAGATGGCTTTTTCTGATATTTCAGCTTTGTGATTTTCCTTAGTATCACAAATTGGCCTAGTATAATAGACAGCATTTTCTGGCAGTATGCTTCAGTGTACTAAAAGCAGAATAGCTGCAGGAAAGTAGCCCCCTCTTTAACACTTTTTCTTCACTATTTTCAGTAAAGGGAAGTAAATTACATTCTTGAGTTTAGAATTCATCACACAGTGCTTGTTTTGGTTTTCCATTCATTTTTAATCCGATATCTTCCAGATTTACACTTACACGATATTCCACTGGAGTTTTCCAGACTGCGGGTTTTGATATGTGTTTTTTAACAACAAACTCCCTATGGGGCATCTAAACTGAGAGCAAAATGCGGTCAAACTCAGTCACTCACTCGGAGACATGAGCAACAGAGGTGACGTCCACAACTTTAGCTTGAAAGGTGCTTTGGAGAATTTTATACTTGGCTATTTCACCAATGAACAGCAGGGCAGACACAGATAATGAAAGGGGCTTCAGCAGCAGAGCTTTTAAGTTCTGGAGGGCTTGCTTTTGCCATCAAAAAACTTGACGTAGTCTTGCACCCATTTGTCTGAGGGCCTGGCGCAGACCTCCCTCCCAGCTAGAGTTCTGAACCTGAGGAAGATGAACACACAGTATGAGCACAAGGCAGGTTAAACACCAGCAGGCAAGAAGAAAACACGTAGCCGTGCTCTTCCTCTCTTGGTTAGGGGTGGCCGATGGATTTGAAGATCTTATCCAGCTGTTTCTTGAATCAGCTTACACACCACCACTGGGAGACACCAACAACCCCTCTGTTCATGGGGCCATTTTCTATTCCCAGAGCTGCACGTTTCTCTTAATGGCAGCTGGTGTTCCTGGGCCACAAAACTTTACATAAGCAGAAATATATACTTTTAACTAAGTAACAGGTGAAGATAAATAAGAACACACTGACTGTCCTTGCAGTTTGGGAAGCACCAGAATCTGCTTGAATTACTTCTCCTAATTTGTATTAGTGATCTAGATTCTGGCTTAGTGAACTAGTCTACTATTTAATACCTCAACTAGTTAGTAAACTAAAATAGGAGGATTAGTAAGTCAATCTATTCAGCCCCCTAGTTGATTCTGTGGCTTTTATCTAGACACTACTAACAACTAACACAAGGTAGACTGAACGACATCCACTTTTTCATCACCATTCTTAGTGTTATGTTTATTCCACCTATTTAGGTGAAGGAACTAGACGGCGTGGAGAATATAAATACGAATTTCCCACAGTGTGCTGAGTGACAGATGGGGTTTGAATTTGAATGCTCACTTTTCCAAGTTCAAACATGGTTTGCTCTAAAGCTTGTATTCAGCCTGAGGTGGACAAGTCCATATTTAGAAAAAGAGCCAAAGCATTTTTTTTCCATGTGTTGAAGTAAATAACTCATTAGTTTAAAAAAATAATTGAGAATTCTTTCTTGTGACGTCCTTACATGAGGTTGATGTAACCACAACGCCTATGATATTCAGCGTAGCTTGATCTACATTGTGTCACCTGAGAAAAGACTGCAAATATCTGTGAGTTCTCCTTTCTTTCCTGTTTTGTGTGGTTGGCTTTGATGCGACATGGCCATCTTTCACAAGCAGATGGAAACTGTACTGAGGGTTTTGCGGGTGAATTCAGCAGTTCAGTGAACACATTAGGTTTAAAACATTACTCAAGCTGCCTGATGAATATTCCGTTACTCCATGCAGAAAAGCAAGAGAGTATTATTGTATGGATTAAAAAGCCATACTCACAGAATCCCTCCCTTCGTGCATTGCTGGCTAGTTGTTGAGTAGCTCACAATCTTCCGTCTAGACAGCTGTTTCGCAGCAAAGTCAAAGCAGCACTTCCTGGGCCTGTTAACCATGTGAAACCCTTAACAGACACGAACAAGGGGAAATTGTCAGTTCTTGTCACTTCAGGCTGTGCTCTCTGTGCATTAGCCAACACGGACTTTTTATGTGTTTTATAGAGCTGTTGGCTCTCAGATGAGTTAAACTGTCTGTCAGCTAAGCATGGTTAAACATAATTCACTCACATTTATTTAAGTAGAATTAATCTGCCAATTGTATTTAAATAACTCCAGTAACTTTATGATTGCCTTTAGAGGAATTAAACCAGCCACAGAACCTGCAAGAAAATATGATCTCCCCTATCTTTCAATCAAGTGAAAGTGTTCCTCTGAGGCTGCCTGCTTCAAACTGAATTGATTTTGCTTCTGTTTATACTGTAAACACCAGTTTGATTTGGGACAACTTTACAGCGATTTTCAAACCTTGTCTCACAGTAGACAAAAACGTGTCTCCCCATGCACAGCAACACCCTTCCTTATTTGTCTTCATTACTGTTGCGTGGCTGTTAGCTACTGAGAATGAAACAATCATAAAAAACTTTCATTTTTAGTGTGTGAAACTTTGAAAAGATTTCTTACATCATTCATGAGACCAATTTCTCATCTTGCTGTTTCTTAGTCAGATGTACTATTTTTCTATCATTTCTTAGAAAAGCACAGCGGTATAGTCAAATTGTAAACTATACCAAGTACATCAAGATGGGTCCTCCCTGAATATATGGTACTTTTATATTCACAGCTACAGTTCTGAAATACATATCCCAGATCTGTGTAGTAGAAAAGATCATTATTCTTCAGTTTATTAAAATAGCTGCATGATTGATTTCCCAGATCTGTGGTTTTGCCTGTAGACTTGCAGCAAATGTTCCAGACCTTATCTTATTGATTTTTCTTCCAAGACTAGTCTGAAACTACAGCAGCATAAATTGCGAACAATTTGATAACCAATCTTTAAGTCGTAACATACATGGTTTGATTTTACATATAAGATTTTTAACATTTGTTTAACTCTGTGCAGTATTACTTGATTAAAACTGAAACTAAGCGGGATATTAGTGTCTTAGCAAGTCAAGAAAGACATCATGTTGGATGAACACCACATGTGATACCTTCCCTGATGCCAACAGGTGAAAATAGTCAAATGAGGTTGACTTGAGGTAAAACACCTGAGGCTTCTTCTATCTTTTCCTTTTCACATTTGATTTTGTGAGTGGCTGATACCTTGAAAATAACCACAGCCGTGTCTCTGGGGAACTACAGCTGATACGAAAAGCACACTGAATATGCTGAGAAGCAAAGGAAGAATGTGATTTCAAAAACTAGCAAAGTCACTTTCAAAGCTGGTTGCACAAAAGCAAAACAGAACTCAAGTTCTGGAAGCACCTGTAAATATTAGAGATTGGATTGACCTGGGGACAATATAGGTGAGAAGAGAAATACATTTTTCTTGTTTGTTTCAACTGAGCTTTCCCCAGGTTCCTTGGCAAATAAGAATAGAAGAGCGGATCATTTTTTAACTGAAACAAAGAGTTTTGAAACTTGCTTGTACGCTTTTGTAATGGTGGCTATTTTTCACCTTCATATATTTATTCAAGGGAACTGAAAGCCTACGATTACCACAGCAACACAATACAGAAAAGTGCCAGTACATTATGCCTTCTGTGAAAGGATGTGTAAATTATGGTTTAATACTCTGTTCACTCTTCAATCCAGTTCAGTCAAAAGACCAGTCAAATATCACTAGACAAACAGTATCGTATAAATTATCACAGTCAAAAAGGTAAAGATGGAATGCAAAAAGAGGACTAGATTAGCTTTGATATTTGGGATACTCTCTACATCTCTAGAGAAATCAGTTAGATGCAGCCGGGTATCATTTGAAATTCTATCTTAAACCTTTTTTCGTCTAACTGTGAACGTTAAATGAAATTTAGTGGTGAACCCTTAAAATATGAACCCCAAACATTTGTCCATTCTATCAGGGAGTGCATCTTCTATCATCATCCATCATCCCAGATTCTTAATTCCGTCTCTTACACCTCATGTATTTTCCTCCTCAACAATCTCTAGTTAAATATAAAGCACATTTTTTATGTAGTAAAAGAAAAGTTTGAGTGCATGTGGGATGCAATGTTTAGAAACATTAAAATATGCTTGGAGGCCATCCTCATTTTGTGGCGAAATGTTATTAGTAAGAAACCCTACAGTTTGTTTAAGAAAAGATGCTAAAACACACTGCAAGCCAAAATCAGAGCCCATGTGATTTTAAAGGGCCAGCTGCCCAGACAGTGTTACCTTCAGTGAGAGACGCAGCGAGCAGCAGAGCCAGGAGCCAGACTGGCAGACACAGGCGAAGAGACCCCATCTTCAGCAGCATGGCACTAAGGAGCCCAAAGCCGACGGTTCTGCAGAAGACTCACTGTGAAAGTGAATATCTCCTCCTATGCGGCGCTCTTTTATTGCTGAGCTGTTCATCTAACAAATACATGAAGGGGAATTACTTTCAGAGGGGTGGGCCTGTCTGATTAGCCCCTAACTGAAAGGGATTAGTCACCCCCTGAACAAGGAGGACTAAAATGTAGAATTTATTTTTCTTCGAATAAATTTAATTTAGGAAATGAATCACTAAAAAATGAAAATGCTACTACTCTTCTTGGTTAAGTATGAATGATTTTTTGGCTCTGGCACTAAACAGTTCCTGAAAATTGATGGACTATATGGAATATTATAGATAGATTATTCAAACTTAATTTTATGTTTTTCAGCCAGGAATGTTTATTCTATTGAGATAGAATTGGCATTTACTTTTTAAGAACTTTAAGTGATCTCATCTTTTACTTTCAGTTTGTGGTAATACAAATTTAACATACAGTAACATCACATTTGACAAAGTTAGAGTTTCAGTTCATACTATGTCTTATGCAGCATTTGTGTTGCAAAAAGTAACCTGAATTTTTCCCAGAATAACACTGATAAATATCCATCACTGTAGCAAGTTTCATTGCTGTTCCCAGTTAGTGGTATCTGAAATCACTGAAGACAACATTTAAATCTAGACAAAATTAGAACACTTGTTTCTTATTGTCCACATGGAGACATTTTTATGGGGAAACAAGATTTGTTTTATGTGTCATAAACCATGGCTATTAATGTTTTAATTTAAAAATGTACACATCCTGCATACTTCTATATATTCACAGAGGTTGGTAGAACCACCACATCATATAAAACATACTGTATAGTGCATGAACATATAGTAGCCCTACATAAGCATTATCAGGGCATATTCTCACTGCCTATGGAGTATGGAAATTCTAGACAGATGATACTTTAATTCAAACAAAGCACCAGTAAAAATGTATTGGATAGTGTAAAAGCTATCAGATTTCAGAAGTCAAAAGGTGAATTCTCTAAATGATACTATGTTGACGCTGTATACAGTAAATGCACCATTGCAAGAATGACTTTTAAACAATTCTGTGGTTTCCAGTCCTGGAAGCATGTTAATGTTCTAACTACTAGCAAAAAAAAACATGAAATAAAAATGAACTATTTTTACAAGTAATCAAAGCAGTAGCATGTTCTTTAGTACCCATAAGAAGGAGGAAGAGGATGTGAGGAAGAATAATCCTACGTTATGTTTCGGCTGGTATGGTGGTGCAGTGATCAGCTATGTTGCCTTACAGTGAGGGGGCTGTGGGTGCAGTTCCTGAGGCTGGATTATGTTCTCTCTGTGTTTCAGTGGGTTTCCTCCCATGCTGGTAGGTTAACAGGCTTCTGAAAAAACTAGCTCTGTTGTGTGTGTTTCTGTATGTGTGTGTGTCCTGTACACCCCTTCAGAACAGGGTTACCCCACCTTCTGCCCGTTGTTTGCTGAGATGAGGTCTGGCTCCCCTGAACTGGAAGAAACAGTGAGAAAGCAGAAGCAGAAGCACTTTGCCTCTGTAAGGGACCTAACTGGTCATTTTTATTTTACTAAAGATGCTTACATAAGGGCTAAGGGGCAAAATACTTGATGTGTGACTCTGAAATTCATGTCCTTTCTGTTGTGGTTTCATCTTTTATGAGTTCCTCTAATCCATTTTCTTCAAACCGCCTCCAGAAAGCCACATTTCTAAAGATTTTGTTTGACTTGAATCAGATTTATGCAGCAAGCATTTTCGATTTGCATGGTACATTTTCATTTACATTATAGTTTAATTTCAAACACTTCGTTTCTAGAAATAAAAAGAGAGATAAAACTAAAAATGTAAGCACCGTTTGAACACGGTCAGTTACTGGAAGTGATGTTGAAAAGGCAGAATATGAAGATATTTTTCTCTTTGTAAAAATGGGTGCCAAAACCCAGCTCTTTATGACTTTTATGACTTACAGAGGTGGACTAAGTAATTTAACATGTAACATGTTGTGTAACATATTGTAACAAACAGTAATTTTACATTCCACTTTTAACATTTAATAGTAAAAGGTTAAAGTCTCACTCCATTTAGAACATACTTTGTCTTTATTGAGTTTCATTTTTTAATGAAAAGGAATGTCTCCTGGCCTTCCTATGTGATATTTGACTTGTCCAATTTCTTATGGCTTTATCCAATACAGGGTTGTGGGGAATATGAAGCATATTTCAGCAAGCAATGGGTGTATCATCAAGCAAAACTGTGTATCATCCAGGATGGGAGACCAGTCTGTCACAATGCACACACAAACACAGAAATGCACACACTCACACCAGAGCCAATTAACCTACCAGTATGTCTTACACTGTGGGAGGAACAAATGGAACTACAACAAATGGAAGAGTACATTTGTGCTTTAAAGCAGAGCTTTTGTCTTTTGGAAATTGCTTATTCAACATATTCATCTGTGATTTCTATACCTAAGTTGGAAAAAGTTGGAAAATTAATTAATAGTAATAAGTTTCACAGGCTACTGTATATTATAATAAAATTCATATAGTTCTGCATCATTATATACTGTAGCAAGGTATTTTATTAGCAAAAAAACTTGATCTACTTAGTGAGCTTCATAGTATTCAATATATGTATAGTTACACCTTCAGACAAGTAATGACACCAACAACATGCCTTTTAAGTAACTTTGTAGCACTAGAACACTAATGTGACTGCTTTCCTTTTCTGGAGATACCACGAGCACTTCAGTGGAAACAGCAGTAGACACATCTACTAATGAAAAGATGCAATGTATTCTGCTTATTGTTCTACATCTTCTCGTATCTAAAAATTAATAACTTAATTTGTCTTAATCCCATTTGTACCAAGCCCTCAGTGTTCTGAACGTGTGGAACCACCCATAAACTTTGCAGGACAGAGTCAGGTACTGGGTGCTATAAACGCTGCTCTGAGTCAGAACAGTTGCTCAACTGAATTAAATAACAAACCTGATCCATCTGCCAATGGCCAATTACAAACTTGATGTTTGAATAAAAGTTTCTAGATCTAATGAAGAAATAAGTCATACAGTACATAGTACATAAGAAGGCTCCATTAAGTACTGGGGTCATTTTGAGATCAACATCTGGACCAGTGCTGGAATTTGAAGTCCAAACTCAGTCATTACTTCTTACAGTTTGATGGGTTCTTTTAAACCTGATGAACTATGGACCATCTTGTCATGTGCAGCTCAAAGCTGTAGTCTAAATTTAGTTGGAGTGACCACAATGATGACAACTGCATATTATAACTAATCTATGAGTGTGTTTCTGTGCAAAGCAAAATGAGTCTTTTAGACACATGCTACTTTAATGTCTCATATAGAGAAACAGCAAAGCTTTGCACAGATTCAGATTCAAATTCACATATTCAGAGATAACTGTGCTATTGTTTCACTGTGTGGTGTAAGCACTTTTTAAAAACTTTTATTTCTTTTCAGTCATTACATTGTTCATGGTAAAGAAAGGAAATTAGCAGAAAGTCTCTCTAAGCCAATAATCATGTAGTATTATGGTTGTGACTTGAAGCTGATTACAATTAAGATGCGCAGCGATAAAAGGGGTAAACGACATGAGGGTCAAATTCTGGATGCCCATCACATCAATATGAGTCAGCTGTTACCAGTACTTCATTGACCATTTCCAATCAGCATTTAGGTAGCTGAAAGGCAGATATTTTTTATACAGTATATAAGGTAGATGTGGGCAGCTAGAACCGTAAGTGTAGGCTGTGCCATTCTGTTTGCTTTCTCTCAGACCAGAACGTGACTATGACCATCTGCAGCCTGATCTAAGACAGTACCTCATATTCACAGTAGGTCAGAATGCATACTGTACCACCCACAGAGAGAAGTGATTCTAGGAAAGTACAGCTTCTTTAACTTTGTTATCAGTGTCTAGTGGGTTGGATAGTAATGTTAATAACATTTTATTAAAAAGGTTTCAGATTCTTATTATTTTTCAAGAGCTATATTTTCACTTTCTGTTTTCTGTACTAAGATCACACCCAGGCTATCTAAAACACCTCAAATGACTCTCTACAGACTCTCTAACCCTGATCCAGGCTGCTGACCCATACTGCAGTGTTTTGTGCAACACCATTAAACCTCAGGAACGTTTTAGGCAAAACTTAAGAGGTTGTATAGAAGAGGTATACAACCTTGTTGTATAGAAGAGATTTTCGAAACCAATAAAATTGAGACCTGTGGAGGAAGGTGGGTCCATCTGAAATCATATCATATTTAACTGGAGGTTTACTGCAAAATTGGCTACAGTTTTTTACACATTAGTATTACCACAATGTTTAATTACCTTTCAGGCTCTTACTTTCTGTCTAGTGTAAGAAAATAAAACTTAAAATTATATTTTAATTAAAAAGCACTACGAAATGTTTAAAACACAGTGATGTTTTTCCCCTTTTTAAGCATCATGTCTGACACATTCTGAACTGGCTCCTATGTTAGTATCAGGCAGCACTGTGGCCAACCACATGTGTTAAACTGCAGAAAAAGGTCAAAGATGAGTGCAGGCTTGCCTGATCTCAGCTTTCGTTTTGTTCATGCATCTCATTCATCTTTGTGTGACAGGTTTTCCAATGTGTCACCCGAAGATGACTGAGGTACATCAGCTTGTAGTGACCTTTTGGCATTTTTTAGTGAAATCTGTTCTTAAAAGAACCAGAGAACCTAAAAATGTACCTAATAATGTGAATCATTTCTTTAAAAAAAATAAAATAAACTCCCCAGGGCAGACCTAAATATTTCAACTGCCTTAAAGTGAATCTTTTATCTTTGTAGGAGAGACATGTAGGTCCACTCACATTGTTAATTCACCTGAAAAATATAACCTGTGTAGCGGTTTGTATTCTAAGTGTCAATGTAAGTGTGTTTTAAATAAATTACAAAATGGATATGAATCACTGTTCTCTTTCTTTCTATCAATTTGTATATTATAATGAACACTAAACTTGAAGAGCTGGTTTCTTCCCATGGATTAAGTTAATCCATCAAGTTCCAGGAGTATGAACAGTAAAATAAAAAACATTCATACCACTATCAATTGTCCTGCACTTCACAAAAGTTGCAAATATTGTATTTATATTATAATTATATTAGAGTATTTTTTCAAGTGATTATTTCATGGAAGAAGTCATCTTAGTTGAGGAGTAAGAAGAAAGAAACATTCCCTACAACTCATTTATTGTCTGCTACAGACTTGAATAAACTTGAACTTCTTGTACTGTCCCTCCTCAGACAGATCGGTTTCCAAAAACGTTAAATGAGTACAAATGACCACTGGAGGTCGCCTAAACGCTATTGCTGTTATTAAAATTAACTAGAATCCTGTTTAATAGTTTGTTGTGTCCTATTCTTAACATTTAATGTTTTAATTAATCGGTGAAATATTTTGTTTGCTGTGAATTCCTTTATATCAATTTAAAACTACGTCCATCCAGTTTGTTAATAACCGTAGGTCACTTGTTACTGACAATAGTGGTGTTACTGTATGTTGCGAATTTCGCTATCGTCTTAAGCATCTTGTCTGTTTTTAACTATTTGTATCCCCCCTTTTTTCTGCTGTAGTTTTAGCTGCCAGAATCCCTACGAGGTAGGAGTTGCAAATCTATGGGTTCCTACCACTTATACAAACAAAAAAAAAAATAGTTACATAGTTATACATAGTTATATAGTCTAGTGTTTGTAATTTAATAGAATATTTGAGCCATTTCTTAAAATACATTGGAGAACATTTAGAATGCAACTATGTATATATCTATCTATCTTTGATAATGAAAGGAGACCTATTTCATACTCGTCTCAGCTTCACTGACGTATATGAATGTGTATTTGAGTGAAATATTGTGAAGCATTCTAAGAGCCGCATGATTCATGACTAGCAGAATAGTTCTTTTCATCATTATGTTGATTATGGACCAGTAAAGGTTTAATAAAATAAGACACCAGAAAATAACATTTTTGTACTAGTCTTTCATCTTCTTAAACATTTATTTTTGTTAGATCAGATATGAAATACATCTTAGTAAAGATGATATCTCTATGGAAAACAAATCTCAAGGAGGTTGAGGTCTGGAGGAAGAAGATGGGTCCATCTGAACTCCTATCTCTTGGTTCCTCACGTAAAGAGGATTTCAGGAACCCGGCAGAAATCAAGACTGAATACCTCTGACGTATACAGTAAGTTCAATATGATCTATTATTAATCTGGTCCCTTAGATCCATTATATTAATTTTATGGCTTTATCCAATTTCCAAAAAGCTAAGACCGTCAAATTCATCACTTGGGCACCCGGGTCCCCATTGGAAGCAACATTTTAATATAAGCCCAAAATTCTGAAATGTTGCTTCCTGCTTTTAATCCTGCGTGGTCCATTCTGTACATTGTGGACAGTCTCTTATTGCACACGAGTATACGCTCACATGTTCTCTTTGAGTTGTTGTAAACCAATCTAAATATTATGAAAAAAGTATCGGTTATCAATGTATAATTTATAAATAACTTTCTTTAATGAATTATGTTTATGTTTTTTTTTTTCGGCTGGGGTTCATATTTACAGTACTTGTTTAAATAAACGATTTTGTTTGACATGTCATTTTAAATACATTCTTTTCTATATTTTGTTTTTTTTTATATACTTGTTAGATAACTTTATTTCCGCACTATGTGAACTTTATTCTTACGCTGAGAGATTGGAATATATCCCAGGTAATAGTACTTTTATCCTAAACCTTGAAAATTTGCCATTGTTACACATGGCTGACGAGCTTCTTGAAAGACATTAATAAATACTTACACAAGGGGGCGAGTTTGCAAAACGATACAACTTCAAGAGCTACATAAGCAATGACAAAATAAATTATATCAAAATAAAGGATTAATGACTAGTCCTTTAAACTAACAAGTACCTTCAATTGAATTTTGCTTCAAAGTGGCAATCATTAGATTCATACAATTATATAATTTGTGCAGGTAACGCACAACAGTGCCTTGAAATTCGTATATAATGCAGTCTTCTCCATAATACAGCCCGATACACTTTTCAGAATTCATCATGATGGTGTTTGAAGAGTATGTGTAAGAGTACTATTACTTGTTCCTTACACATAGGAACAAGTAATAAACCTATTACTTGTTCCTATGTGTAAGAGTATATTTACAGGAATATAGATACTTCTGCTATATTTTATACTTATGATACTTATGATGGTGAGCATAAGTGCAAAATGCTGTAGATGTAGACGCAGCCGTACATTTATCTATAGGAACATCTGCAGTCGTGAATGGTGTTTTCAGTGACCGTGTCCTGACAACCAGACCTGAGGTCCTGACTGTTTTAACTCGTGCAATCTAGTATGCATTAGCCCTTAAAACGACCAGGCAGATGGAGAAAACCTCAAATCCCATCAGGCAATTCGAAACGTCTTCCTGTCTGTGGGCCGCCTCCCCTCTTGGAACCAATCACATGCGGAGGGCTGGCTAATTCTTTGTGACATCACAATGGCAGGCCGAGCCGAGACTTTTCGAGCCTATCGAAGAGATAGTCCAAGGGAGGGGGCAAAACTCCGCCTTCCAGATCGCTACATTATACCAATTTTCTGCCTCTGCCTTGCTATAGTGTTACCTGGGGATTCCCTCCTTGGGTTTCATTCATTAGAATCCGTTCGGAATCTCCCACACATCCTCAGAAATTATCTCCAGAGTTACAGCTGCAAACCCGAAGAAAACGATTAAAAATAAAAAAAAGAAGATTGCTCTTTTTTATGCCTGATCTATTTGGATTTGGGGTTGCTGCTGTTACAGTAAAATGATTGAGAGACCCGATTCTGCAGTTTCCAGCATAGCGGTAAGTATATATATATATTTTTTTTTAGAAGCTTGTTGTTTTCTTGGTATTTCGTGCACTCCGGAGTCGGAGAAAGGGCGCCTGACCCGAAGAGAAGAGAACGCGGTGGCAAGGTGGCTGTGGCCAACAGGCAGACGGCACATCCTCCATTGCAGGCGGCTCACACGCCCCACCGGCCGGCCGCTCAGGAGGCGCCTTCCACCTCTGGCCGGGGAGCGCGTTCGAGGCAGGCAGCCGCAGATGTGGTCGCAGAGCGGCAAGTCAGCGTGTCGCCGAACCGCGCTGATGGATGATTATTGGGCCCGGTGGTGGGGGTCGGTTGGAGCAGGATGAAGCGTCCCCGCCCCGCCGCCCCGTCTTCAGGCTAGGCGGTATCCATCACAGAAACATCCTGCTGACTCTCAGTGAGACAGTGGGCGACTCTGCGGGCTCAGCGTTCGCTTCTGCCGCGGTGAACCGAGCGCGTTTCCGCTCTGTCGGGCAGATTAGGCAGCTGCGGACAGCCCCGCGTTTCGGCCGCTTGCCGGTGAAATCGCAGCTGGTGCCGGGGCTGGTTTGCCCGGGTGGCCGCGGTGGTGACAACCGGGGCGACCGCGAGGAGCCTCCCAGAGGAAACGGACTGGATCCGGCTGCCAGGCCGCCTCTGCGTGGGAGACGACCGGCTCTCGCCAGACCGCGTCTTGTGGGGATTTTAGATGCGAGAGCTCCAAAATAAATCTTAAAAACGTTATTGACAGGATGTGAAAACCGAAATGACGGAGTCGTCACCATCCGAGCAATCAACACGGTTCAATTAAGTTTTTTTAAAACACGCCAGTGCTAAATATTCGCTCTACCATTAAACCAGTTCTCGGGAACAGGTGGATTGGTGTGTTACAGCGCGCTTGATTTCAAGGCTCTGAACTCTGTTTTTGCCCTTCAGCAATGGGTGTTATTTTCTCTTAACCGTTTTGTCCATGTGTCTCGATGGGCCACACGCAAATCAAGTAAAAAACTTTGGGTTTGCTCACAAAGGTGCGCACTAGCTCCTATCCATTTGTACTAGACATGGCTGTGTTATATTAACAAACATTTACCTATTTCGGAGTATCCCATGTCAAACAGAACTGGAAGTGCGATACTGTTGTCTGATGATTTTATTTTGGGGGGGGGGGTCTTTAAGTAGGCTCATCATTGTTACATGCGATTTGTCAGATCGTCATGTGCGGTGACTTCTGTACTGAAAGAGGCGCTAGACAGTTATTTTGGATAGTCTCCTGTGAACTAATTCTCAGGGTCAGAATAATGTTCCTAAACTGTCTAATATAAGTTGCCCACTTCTGCGCCGAGAGCAGTCTACTTGCGCTTTGATATTTGATACATGGGGAAAAAAAATGAGGAACTCGCTTATGAGTGTGTCCATGTTTGTAAAAGACGTAGGGAGACTGGAGTTGCAATTCTATTCAAAAATATTATTCCATATTTCATTATAGATAGATCACGCACACAATAGTAACATAAATCAAATGGGATTAGTTTGGATACATGGAGCACTTAATTCATATTGATCTTTTTAAAAAACAATTCGAAGTACATAGACTGGGTCCTTGAACGGCTTGTAAATGTCCCCTTTGTCGAGGGAGTTTCCCATAAATTGATCAGTGGAGATTTATTTATCTGTTTATAGTGGGGAATTAAGAAGTATTGGTTATCTTCTTGCTGAGGTCTTATTCCAGATGACATTCTCTTAATGTCAGTGGGCACAGTGCATTCCTCTAGTCTTCAGTGGCCAGGAAATGATATTGGAAGTTGGGCTGTTGTGTAGCAAGTGGGAGAGTTGGATGTCAGTCAGTTTGACAACAGGCTGACTGAATTCAGCTCGTCCTTACCACCCCTGACTCCCCCGTGCCACAAAGCCAGTGGTAGATGCCAAGCATTGACATAAAGGACCGTCTCTCCTGGCACTCAGTGAGCTGTGATGTATTGCATTCAGCCTGGGGCTCATTTGTACAAAACCCAGCAACAAAGGCACATTACAGAACAATGCATTGGTGAGAGGAAGTGAAACAGCATCTGAAGCCAAGTTCAAACTGATGAAGGTTTCAATCTGCTGTAAGGTATCTGTATTGACCGCTGACATTTGTGGCTATGCATGTCAGTTTGTGGCTTGTAGGAAGGAGCCATGAGACTTTTGAAGACCTTTAGACTTCCCTTAAAAAATATTTTGGATGGTTAACTATCACTTACAGTTGTGTGGGACCTGTTTCAAACTTTGTTATTGCAGAAAACAATGCCTGCCTGAATAGTGGCCTTTTGAGGCACAGAGATGTCCGTTAAGGAACAAAGTTAGTTATACCCGTGAGTGATTCCACTTTGCCATTCCAATACAGAGATGGCATTCAGAGTTCATTCAAATAATGGTGCAAACGTGCAAAACAAGCTGAGAAGACTAGACAGAAACACAGCTGAATCCACTACTACAAAACACATTGTCTTAGTGGAATCCAGAGATTATTGCTGTAGGATTTGAAATCCTCCAACTTTATAATTGTGAAGTATTTCAATGGTAAAGGGCCTTCTGGCAAACCAGGTAAGAGCCCTCTCTCATACACAGGTTATTATTTCATCTTATTTCTGTCAGCACTGGCCAACTGATCGCCCAGAGTTTGTAAAAAAAAATTGCTTAATGGTCTTCATTGAACATTTTTCTCCTGGTGTGGTAGAGTGACTCTTGGGGAAAGTGTAACTGGTCCCTCAGAAATGTACTGTTCTGGTTTGGTAATGTGTTTGACACAGAGCACAGTACACTCAGTAATTGATTACTGCCACCTAACTCACTGAAGGTTTATTTAATTGCGCTTCATATCTTACTGGTTTCTGTTGCTTTGCCACTTTGGTTAATTCAGCACTTTTGGGGAAATGCTCAACAAAAACATTTCAGTCATGGGATGAGGTGGGTTTTGTGGTTAAAAATGACATAAATGCACTGTCTTGTCATTTACCCTGGAGTTAGTAGCGGTCACGATTCTTTATTACATTTTTGTAGCAGCTGATCTTGTGCACTTGAACAAAACAATACCCGAGGCTGAGCTTTAAAAGTGGTGACAGTTTTGAGTGACGATAGAATCTGACATTAAGGTAGTCCTGGGCCTCTTGAATAACTTTGTAGTAGTTTCTGATTTTAACAATAAACTTGTTTAAAGAATTCTTGGCTCTGATGTATAATTATTGTACCCAAAGGATACCACGTTATTCTTTGCTCTTGTTGTCCCATTACTATCTTGGTGTTGTTCTACATTGCAATGACTTGCTTATGATTGCAAAATCTAATGTGAATGAGTCACATCTTTGCTTTCACAAATCCAAGCATATTTGTGGTCTGAAAACAACAGCAATGAAACATTCCATCAGGGCTAATGGTACTTGGATAGTTGTACCCAACCACAAAATATTTGTAAGCACATGAGTTTGGATAATTCATCACCTATGATTAATAGGTAGCAAAGTAAGTTGCAATTAAACCCACAAAACAGGTCTGGGTTTGATACCAAAAGGATTATGTGCAGAGATGTCTTTTCATCCCAAGGTCTGGTGCAGAGGTATTCGATGCAAAGTCCCTAGTTTCCTGCCTTTAAAGACCCATCAGCATATCAGAAGGGGGCTTGCCAGGCCAGGAGGAGTGGGAGTGTATTGATTTTGACCCACTGAGGAAGAAAGGCTTTCCACTCATGAGGGTCATGATAGTGGTAAGAAGGTGCTTTTAGAAGCCCCAGGGATTCTGTGTGTGCCGTGTCTTCCAACTTTATCTTCAGTTTTCAATTTCACTATTACACCTGTTTGATAAACCTGACACACTTAATATTTCTGCAGGCCTGACAGATGTAAAAAAATAACTACCTGTGAGCGGGTGCATCCTTTCAGTGATCATATTTAAAGGATCTAAAATGTGAGGTTGTTTTAGCTTTAACTTAGTTTTCTTCCCCAATTATTTAAGTTTCCAATACTTTTTACGCTTGCAGTTCTTGCTGGCAGTTTTCCCAAAACACTTTAAAATAAGTACTTATGTATCATCTACACAATTTTAAATAAATGTAGGATTTCTTCCACTTTTATACTCTTGCATTTTGGGGTCACCATCTGTTAATCGGCTCGGATTACTGGCCCACGACGGGGTGAGACGAGACTGAGGAGATGTGTGCTCATCCCGTTTTTAGTGCCTTGTCCCACTGTACTGCACTGCCACAGTTTTCCATCTGGAGGACCTATCCGATCACTTCACCCTGGTCTTCCTTGAAAATTGAAAGTTTCTATTTCAATAGCCAATGAATGACGTCCAGGCTCAATGTCCGAGCCCAGTGCCCAGTTCCCTGTAATTGATCTTCTCGATGTGCTAAATGCTGTTCCAGATTCCCTCAACCCATTTCATCCTGTGCCTTCAATCCAGGGTTAAGGTTAGCTGTACATTGTTCTGCACAGGGTTTATATTTTTAGGGCTTTCATTAATTAAGCTCAGTACCTGGCCAGTCTGTGCTCTTTAAATCAAAAATACAATGTCTTGTGGTGCCTAAGAGATTGAACAGGTATTAAGCTGATTCTGCCTGGAACATGTAGCTTGCTGGTATAAAAACTTGCTAAAGATTAAAGGCTTAATAAACTGGGATATGACTCATGGGTCTTGCTGTTTTTGTTCATAAATTGTATTTTTAAACCTGCTGGATTTCTTGTGTTTGATTTCATACTGTACCTGTAACATATTACAGCAAATTATTTACCGTGTTAATTACTGGCTCCAGAAAACTAAGGTCTGAAAAGCTTTTGTGCAGCTGATGTGAAAGATGTAGCACAAAGCGGACAATGTTAGGCACTGCCTTGTCTTCCCCAGGATCACCTTTAAGACGGATTTTGATTTGTAGGGCAGAGCTACCAGATAGCAGGCGTCTGCTAAGTTTGGGGTTTTAGTGGTGTATCACCAAGATCTCTATTGTAAGGATGCTCATTTTATATCTGCCTTTGATATTGTGGCTACTGAAGTAATTCAATAAGAAAACATTCCCTTTAGTTAGTACATGAGTGAAGGAGATGGGCAACTGATCCTTCATTCATGTTGAACTTTAAGAAGTGAACTTCCCTCCATAAAGTCATTGGTATTAGAAGCAAAAACAGGGGAGGAGCATTAGAGAAAAGCCTCCACTTAATGTGCAGAATAGGGTGTAGAGCCAAGAGGCCACAAATATAGATCCAGACTCTGTTACATGTTGTTTGCGCATAGGAGCCTCATCGCCTTCTTACCTTCAGCCTGAAGAAGGTGGTGTGAGTCTGGCTTGGAGAATCCCCACCCATGATCTTTGTGACTTGCCATCTGTAGGAAACCGAATACTTTTATCTTCCCTCTGTCGCGCATAAAATGTCACCCGTCGCAAGCAAGGGTTGGATGAGAGCTTTTGATCAATTTAGTTGATTATTACATTTATAGAGTGATTTTCATCTCGCAGGATCCCCAAGCCTTTTTACATTTAAAGGGGATACTTTATGACCAGGTAGTGAAGGTTAACATCTCATCTTAAGGACAGAACCTTCTACGGCACAGTGTTCCTAGTAACCATACTGGGACACTGGTTTGGAAAATGTGGCTTAGTGGGAGAGGTGTCATTTACTGGTCTGCCAGCCCCTTGGCAGTGACCTGGTTTTCCTCAGAGGTCTCCTGTCCCCATACTGGTCAGGCCCAGCCTTGTGTTGCTTCTTTGATCTATCCAAATCAGGCTAGATTCTGGCCAGGGTAAAAAAAAACAACAACAGATTTTTATGGATGAACCCAGCAGGAAAAAAGGAAAAGTGTTGGACTTGGAACAGTGCACTATGTTGCTGTGGGGGCAGATTGGAGTGGACTGGACTCTGAGAACTTGAGAGGTCATCTGATCTCACCAGGCTAGGGCTAAATGGCACTGTCATGCTTATAATTTAGTTCAGATGGCAAATATTATGCAATATTCTCAGAGATTGTTTTTGCAGGTATCAAATCACAAGTGTTATTCAGGAATTCAAAGTTCTGCTTTAAAAATCTTATTACTTACCTGCTGATATGAGTCTTGTTAGTGTTGGAATAAAAAGAGGGACTCAGACCTGTTTAGACTTTTTTTATACAAGACATGAAGATAATTACCAGGATTACGAGAGTCAAGTGATCCTGTTTGTTGCACACTTGGGGAGCAGATTCCTTGGATTATAAGTACAGATTGCTTTGGGCTGAGTAAGGAGTTGTGTGATTTCATCTCTGCGGTAACACAGCCAAACCAAAGTAATGCAATCGCACTGCTGTGGATGCCAGCATTTCTTTCAGATAAAACGTCTGTTAATGGTAACGCTCATGGTTTGTCTTTAGTGACATTTGTTTCTAAATGCCTCAGCTGTGACTGAGTATAACCCCTCTGCATTGTTCCTTCAACTTTTCAACCAGCTATACATCTTACACTCAGTTTCCTTCTACAGTAGGAACCATAACATGGCTCACCTTTTTGTTTTCTAAACCTGTGTAGTGGGTCAGATTTAAAAACAAATGTGCATATTGTTCCAACAGCATTGATCCATGTCATAACTATATAAGTATGTATTTAAAAATGTATTCAGTTTGTAGATGATTACACCGTTTGACTGAAGGGCTGTACAGCATAGTATCAACCACACAGGGATGGAATCATGCTTTAGATTTAATACTTGAATAGGACCTCCTTTTTTGAAACTTGACACTAATATATATGTTGTTTTTTGATGCTTAGATTGCAAAGATTGTAAGTGAGAGGATGCCATTTGGCCTTTTAGAGTCTATTTGAGAATAAGTAAGTGATCTGAGGATCTCTACCAGCCATTTCTTCAAGGAAGCTGGGGTTTCACCTTCATCTACATGCTTGAGTGGCTTGATTTGTACTCCTAAAACCTTCCATACTTCATGTTTGGACACCTTGTCTCCCCAGAATTACTTTGCTGTTGATATTGAAGTTCAATGGCTTGACTGTCAATGCCTTTGACATGGACATTGTTATTCCTTGGGAAATAACATAGTCAAAGACTGAGATGTGTTTGAGGATGTTGAAGAAATTCTGCCCAGGGGAGAAACCGCAAATTTGTTTCTGGGTTACTTCAAACTGCTGGTTCTGTGCAAATGTCGATGTGCTCTTCAAGGAATGATACACTGCCGCTGAAGCTCATGACATGTCCTGAGGACATGTCCTGAGGTGCAGAAGCAGCCAGCAAGGCTGGGCAGTGTTCGGAAAAAGACAGTATTTCCAATTGTTTGTTCACAGAAAATAAGCCTGTGGTTGTTCCGAAGTACTGCAATTTCAGATAAATGCAAAAACTGTTCTCGAATCACATTTCTTAGAGGAGACTTGAAATCAAAAGGCTTAAAATCACATGAAACCTATACTTTTACCAAACAAAAAAGAAAGTTTGATCCATACAAAAAAGTGCCTTTGAGCTGAACTGTACAGACCTGTTAATCTTTGTGAGCACCAGAGAACAACATCAGTGCCAGCAGCTTTGAACCTCTGGATTGTATTACCCCCATTGACTCATTGTTTTACTGTAACAATAAAGTAGATAAAAGTTTCAGAGTAAAAAATTCACTCTTCACAGACACCTGAAATTCCAACCGGCATTTAGTGCTTAGTTGTGAAGTACAGAGGCAAGACTGAAAGCTATGCCACTGGTGTATAGTACTGTAACACACATTTGTTGGAGCTGGTGTGTACAACTGTTAATGCACACTGTTGCTGGAAACGGAGTATATGACTGACACACACTGTTGCTGGAGTTGCTGTGTACGACTGTTAATGTACACTGTATCTGAAGCTGGTGTGTACAACTGTTAATGCACACTGTTGCTGGAGCTGCTGTATACGACTGTAGCTCAACATCTTGTCACTAGAGTTTATAAATACTGTACTGCTGTAGCGAAACACTTTGTTATAACACAGACCTTATTGGAGCTGGTTTATAGTCCTATTAGAAGACAGACCTCCGCAGTTGGGACTGGTGTGTACTTTATAACACATTAAAACACTCATGCCGTCCTGGAAGTCATAAAAGTAGATGAAATCCCCTCCCACTTAACCACCTATGAGAACATAAAAGTCAGTTCAGATACTGCACAGATGATGGTTTGAGAGCAGTCGGTTTGTGTTCACTGTTTCCATGGACAAAGTAAAGTTCATAACTTGCATATGAGGTTTTCCTTTAAAAAGTATTTTCTTCAGGCTGGCGTACGGTATCAAAAAGGCTTTTGCAAATTGGATTTTTTGTGGTCCGAGTCAGATCCAATACACACATGCTGCTTGTGAAGCTGCTGTGTGCTTGTGGGAAAAGCCGTCACGTCTTCACCTGATGGTGCCACTTTCTTTGTCTTGCAGCAGAGGAATCTGGAGGGATATGTTGGATTCGCCAACCTCCCCAACCAGGTCTACAGAAAGTCTGTGAAGAGGGGCTTCGAGTTCACACTGATGGTTGTAGGTGAGTCCTTGATGCTTCTGTTTGATCTCCATTCTACTGGTTTGCATGTGATATTAAGGTCATTGTCAACCAGTATTCAGCTGAGTTAAGGATGGTTCTTAGAGATGCTGATTACATTGTAAAATTTTATACCTTTGAAGTCTTTGTTTAGTTGGGGAATGCTTTGCTATTTTCACGGCATCGTCTGTCTGCATCAGGCTCTGTGTCATCCGGAGCTGTCGGAGTTTCTGTTTGCATTTGAAATTACCTTTTAGAGCTCACCTTCTTTCCAAAAAAGCTTAAACACAGACAGGAAATGTGTGCCACTCTCTGGCCCTCCTCAGCTGTGGGTACAGTATCTGCAGAGCAAACTCGTGCTAAGGTGCTCAAAAGAGCCAACTCTTCAAAGTTAAGAAGTTTCCTTTTCCGTTTGCCTGTGCTGATTTCCCTTTATACTGTATCACAGTTTTTGCTTTTGGCTGACTAATCTTTAATGAGGAGTCTGTTTGCGGTAGTCAAATGTTCTTTCTCATTCTTTCTACAGATGCAGTGTCTCTAGCTATGCCAGTTACCTTACTTTTTATTTATTAAAACAACTTTTAATTAAGCGAAGAGCATGCAAACTATAAATGTTTTGCTGAAAATATCTATAGTTAGCAGAATTGTGGTTTACTATCTCTTACCCACTTCCTTCTGTCGATGATGGGAAAAACTGTGTAACAGATGGTGATGTATCAGATCCACCTGACACCCTGGTTTCCTTTTCTACTGTCAAAGACAGGTCTACAGTCACATTTCTTTTAGATCACTGTTTTTATTTAGTCTCCTTGACTGCTTGCTGAGTTCAAATAGTTGAGGTTTTCGTCAAGCAAGGACATTACAATAGCCGCAACCATGACAGTATAATTTTACGTGCTGGAGGAAGAAAAGAAAGAAAGAAACAGCATTGAACAAGCCTGTTTGGAGCCAGTTGCTATTTAGAATCATCCAGCTAACTTTTGGGACACCTACATATTGTTGGCTGCCGTACTTTCACATTTGTTAGGACCACAAACCATGTTCATTTTTTTGTACCATTTTTGGTTTTACACACCCAGTAGGCCACCTCAGCTGGTGACAGGATATATTATTTTTATGACAAAGCACCACTACTAGTAAAGACCTGCCACTGAAGGCAGGTGTTAAGTGCTTTTTAAGAGCTCTGACCTACAGTCCATTTAGTACAGTGGCCCTGTGCAGACTCAGAATCAGCATTGTGTTAATACAATGTAAAAACGAAGCAGCAACTGCTCTGCTTTGCCTACTGCCTGATTGAAACACCTACTTATATGAAGCATTTGAAGAGGATCAGTAGTGGTTACCGCTACACACTATTAAGACCAGCAGAAAATCTGAAAACTTGCTACAGATGGATGAGATAAACAAATAGGATTCATATATACCAGTCAAGACATTTCTTCCTTTTGCTTTTATACAATTTTTCGACATGCTGTTTTGTGAAAGACCTTCTGCATGATGAAAGGGGCTGGTGTTGTGATGTTTGGCTTCATGCAGATCAGTAGCCTAAGGATAGTGCGAAAGGCTGGAGCCAAACCTGCTGTTGAGCCCTAGCATTTCCCCGGGACTGAGTCTGTGTAATGCACACACTGGCCCGGCCCTAGATGAGCTCCTGATTTTTATTTTTTAAGCATGATCTCAAGAGCTCTCCGGAAGGAGGAACAAACAGTGTAAAGTTGTCATTTGGCTGTCCGTGCATTTAGTTAAAGAACGCACAAAATGCAGATCCAACATTCTTCCCTTGTTACTCCTCCAGAGATGCATTTAACAGATGTAGCACATCTGGACATGAAAACCATGTGAAAGCAATGCGACATAAGGAAATGTATGCTCAGAAAAGCAGTCCTGTCCTTTATGTTAAAATCAACCGGTAAGAATGAGGCAAAGTGCAACCTTCTTTCTGTTACTTCCATTTCAGATTCCTTGTTCTGTTAATGTATTACTGTGCTTGTGTGTTCACATGACCCAGACAGTTCTTATCAGTAAAGTATGCCTAGAAAAACTGTGAGTTAACTACAACACCTCTCTCTTACGCTTCTATCAAACTGTAACATAGTGGGACTCGACTAAAACATGAATTCTCATTTTTTTTAAACTAAAGAAAAGTTCCTTTAGTATAACAAACATTTGATCTTACGTTCATAACTTAAAACTCTGATTGTGCTCGGCCTTGTCGACATGTGGTGTCATCAGGTTTTGGGCCACTTTGAATTTTGTGCTCTTGCTTTGCGTTTGCTGTTTTCTAACACTTTTTTTAACACATTTTAACACTAAATGAAGGTGCCAACTGTTTTGTGGCGTTTCTGACAAATTTCTGTGACATCTACGAATAGTTTCTCAGCTTTGGTCCGAGGCTAAGGAGAAAATGAAATGAAACCCTTTTGGCAAGTTGACTGTTTTCACGTGTTC